AAGGCACGTTCGATATGAACACAGCCCTGGTGACATTTATAAATTTATAATTATACCCTGGGCATCGATGCATTATTCAAAAAAAATGACGTCGAGGTGGCAGCTTCAGCATACTGCAAACAGCCCAGTACTGCCAATTTTCTATGACTAGACCAATAGTGACCTTTCGGCCAATACTACTTAACCAAGCGGAAACACCGGAAGTACGTCTGAACAACCTCGTTAGTGCATTCTGACTGACTAACTTCAGCGGCCTTTCTGGCCACAACCGCCGTCGTCCAGTGCTGAATCAGAATGGTATTCAGCCAATGTGAAGAAAGAAATAAAATGTGGCGTACACACACATACACACACACATCGGCACAAAGACATCTATTATGACGTGAACAAAGGCGTAAGAACCGCAATTACGACAAACACATTTCAATAGATGTTATGTATGACCGTACGATGGGGAAGCCTTGGATCGTAGAGGGTGAAGAGGCCAGTCAGACAAAATACACCCCGACGCTATCTTATCAAAGCCCCTTATCGGTATGTACACATAAACGCAGTGTTATTGGGTAATTTTAGCTTTACATTCACGTGAAACTCGTCCTCAAATGGACTGACAAACAAAAAGGGCTAAGCTGCAAAGGACAATGGCCGAACGGCCAGTGCCAGGGTACGAGTTGCCGGGTTTGTGAAGGCTTTTTTTTGACAGTGATCACGTGGAAAACAGTGAACAGTTCCAGAATCCCGACGAGCTCCGCAAACCCATTATCGCTTGGGGAACATCGTTAACGATGGCGTTATCGGCACAGACTGTTTAATAGGGTATTTTGATAAGGCGTATCTTCGAGACGGTGTAATGTGGTGATGAAACTGAATTGCGTTTGTAGCAAAAACGAGGTTTGGCCAAGAGCCAAGTCGATTTTCCGACTTCGACGGCTGTTGAGTCACGATGTAGTAAGAGTGAACAACGACGATGACGAAGAAAGGCGTTCGAGCCGTCGACGCCGGAAAACATCTCGGGGAAAAACCCAACAGTCGGCCGGCCATTCTCAACACAACCCCTAGCAACATGACCTTTGAATGCTATTGTGAAAAGTCGCTATGCGCTAGGTAACAAACGTCGTGGGGACCGCGATGGCCGCTAGAACTGACTTAAGATTTCGCCATATTGGGATGCGCCATGTTTCCGGCTCGTCTTGAATGGGCAGATGGAATATATGGCTCTCTTAGCTTCATGGTACCTTCCCAGAGACTTGAGAACGCCTTTACCTTTTAACGGAAAGAAAGGGTTTTGGATAGGGTGGGTTTGACAACTAGGACCAGCCCCACAAGCTATAACGGACCCTTGAGACTGGCACGTCGCAAGGCCTGGCACGAGCTTGTCGACAATGAAGTCAGTCTGTTTGGTTTTGTTTACTGTTGAAATTTATTGTGGCTTCAATTCNGGCTCTGAAGAGTAAAGGTAAATAATGACCTGTGGTGGCCGGTCATCGAAGAAGCGACGAAGAGATCGATTACTGGCTGCATTTCCTGGGTTCGATATAAGCCACGCACTTGCAATCATTTCTAATTTGGGAGCGTTTCAAGAGCTAAATGATACCTAGAATAGAATTGAACGCCTCCACCTTTTCGGAAAAGAAAGGTTTGATTGGTTAGGGTGGGTTATACAGCTCAACCCAACCACACGAGCTGTATCCGACCCCCGAGACACCACATCGCACTGATTGACACGAGCTTGTCGACATTCAAGTCAGATTTTTTGTTTTGTTTACTGCTGATGTTTATTGTGGCTTCAACTCTAATTCAGTGGTGTTCAGTTATGATCAAAATGCATAGTTTCGGCAGGGATTCGGACCCCATACCCCAAATATGTGCTCCGGCCAGAGTTCGGGGTTCCATTTGGTCTGATATGGTGGTTGAAAACCAGAAGACTGTTTTTTGCTGCTATGGTGTTTGGTTGGACCAACTACGGAACATGGACCTCTTGGCAGTGCCCCTCACTTACAAAAAATGAAGCTTTCCTCGAAAAGGGCTACGTTGCAAAATGGGAACGCTAAATAGTAGGAAACGTTGTAGCAGGAAAGCGATGCCATGGCCGGGACATTAGCTGGATTTCTTCAATTACTGTGTTATTTTCTCAACGTAATTGCTTGGTTCGTTAGCATTTATCTCAAATTACGGGATTATGAAGAGTCGCTTTCAGTTTTCATAAGTGGATAACCAGTAGTAAGCTGAAAAATGTCCTATGTAATCAAATAACATTTGTGATCATCCTATTGGAACTGGGGCTGAGGTGGTTGCTCACAAGTACGTGCTGCCAGACACATGGTTCGGGAATCTAAGTCAGGGCCGGAGTTGCCTGGGCTCACCAAACCTTCCATTCCTTGAATCGGTATCGCCTCTCCTTGGGAGGTTCAAAGAGTTGACTGGGGAGACTTGGACAAGACCCGCATTTTGCGGGTCGCGTGCCGGGAAGGGACACTTTTTGCGTGGTCTGAGAAATTTATGTAAAATCATTTTTAGAAATGTCAGAACTGGTCAAAATGTGTAGGCTGTGAGTTTAAACATTTCTGAGGCGAATTCAGATACATGGCGTATTCCCGGCTGGCTCGCTATTACTGTAGGCTTAGCGATACGTTCCACTTTGTTGCCCAATCCAGGATACATTATTCGAATGAAGCAGAAAAAGTTAGCGATGACGATAAGATGATAAGATAGTGATGACGACTGACAAGGAGATAAGCCTTGAAGAGCTCGAAAAATCTGGAAAAAA